CATCGATCTTTCAAGAGTTTCCTTAATTAGACTTTTGCTTCATTTTGTTTTGTTCCAAAATCCGATTTTTTTGTTTGTTTGTTAATGTTACGATTATGTGTTGTCTCTGTGGCCAATGCAGCAATTTTGCCGATCGAACAACAACACACAAAACTTCAACTCTCAGTTCCGTTCAACGGCGACGACTCCGGGACCTATCACGGCTACAACCACACAGTCCAAGACTGTTGGTCGGTGGCTAAAAGATCGGAGAGAGAAAAAGAAGGAAGAGATTCGGGCCCACAACGCACATATCCATGCCGCTGTCTCCGTCGCCGGAGTAGCTGCCGCGGTGGCTGCGATCGCGGCTGCGACGGCAGCTTCGTCGAGCTCTGGAAAAGATGAGCAGATGGCTAAAACGGATATGGCCGTGGCTTCAGCTGCAACACTTGTGGCTGCTCAATGCGTAGAGGCTGCAGAAGTGATGGGAGCTGAGAGGAACCATTTAGCCTCCGTTGTTAGCTCTGCCGTCAATGTTCGATCCGCCGGAGATATAATGACATTAACAGCCGGTGCAGCCACAGGTTCTTTCTAACTGTAATACTGAATTCAAGAATCAGAAATGGATGAAGAATTCAAGAAAATGTCAGATGATGAATAATTGATCAATTTCCTTATGCATTAACAGTTTCTAACATGAATCTATGAAGGGGTTCTCTAAAGATTCGAATTGGCTGAGAGTTTGATTACGAAATCGATATGTTTTTAAACTGATGTTTGTTTGTGGTGTAGCGTTAAGAGGAGTGGCAACGTTGAAGGCGAGGACGATGAAGGAGGTGTGGAACATTGCATCAGTTATTCCAATGGATAAAGGAATCAATCATGGAGGTGTCAGCAATGTTAATAGTAACGGTAACGGCAGCAATTGCAGCTCGAGGAGCAGTCACAGTGGCGAATTTCTAGCTGAAGATAATTTCTTGGGACATTGTAACAGAGAATGGCTCGCTAGAGGTTGTCAACTCCTCAAACGCACCCGCAAAGGTGAAAACACTAATCTGTTTAGTTTCAAGTGAGAGTTTGTTTCTGAATAATTTCATGGTTTTGGCAGGTGATCTTCATTGGAAACTAGTTTCTGTTTACATAAACAGGGTAAATCAGGTTAGATTCCTTCTTTCTTGTGTCTCGAGTTTATTAGATCTCTTTCTTGAGCAATAATGATGTGATCTGATAAACTTTAA